GTCCTGATGACTTTGGAGAAGTAAGCTTCATTTTTTTAAAGATTTATTTCTTTGAAAGGCAGAGTGATGGGGTGGGGGGAGAAGAAGAGAGAGATGAGGAGAGAGAGAGGGGGAGAGAGAGAGAGAGAGAGAGATCTGCTGAATCAACAGCCAAGTCTCAAATCTGGGCCAAGCCAAAGCCAGGACCTAAGAATTCCATCCTGGTCTCCCACATGGGTAGCAGGAGGCCCAAGTACTTCGGCCATTTCTGCTGCCTTCCCAGGCACATTAACAGGAAGCTGAATTGGAAGTGGAGCAGCCTTGATTTGAACTGCCACTTCCATTGCAAGTTGCGACTTAACCCGCTGTGCCCCAGCACCAGCCCTGTAAGCTGTCATTTTGAGAGAACCCCTGGAAAGGTCCTTTGGTAAGAATCTGAGAGGGTCTCTGGGAGCAGTAGCAGTTGACAGTTATCAAGAAAACGAGGACTTTGTTTTACAATCCCAAAGCACTGAATCCTGCCAATAACCAGTGGTTTGGAAGAGTACTCCAAGCCTTGAATGAGATCACAGACCCAGCAGCTGTCTTAATTTCATCTTGGTGAGATGCCAAGTGGAGAACCCAATTGCTCCTGTGCCAATTGCTCCTGAGTCACAGAAACTCTGAGATAACAATTTTGTTGTTTATGTAGTTGCTAAACTTGTGATAATTTGTTATATAGTAATAGAAAGCAAATACGTTGACAAAAATACCACTATATGCCAAAAATCAGATAGAAGAATACATTACAGTGCATTCAGACAATAGAGTAATATGTAGTTGTAAAAGGAGTAAAGATCTGGGGGTGGACATTTAGCATAACAGTTAAGACCTCACATCCGGTATCTAGGGGTGGCCTCAAAGATCTCTGAATGCCTTCAGTCTTTCATCCTCATTGTTTTGCCAGTTAGCACATGATTCCCCTTTATCTGTGCTAATCTCTTTCTGTCCTGATCACAGCGAGTACCCAGGTATTATTCCCGACTCTGGCTTCTGATATCAGCTTTCTGCCAGTGGAGACCCTACGAGGCAGCTGTCATTGCTCAAGTAGCTGGATCCCCTCCACTCACCACATTTAATTCAAAATGGATCCTGGACCTAAATATAAGAGATAAAACTTGAAAATTTTTAGGAAAAAACACAAGTCTAAGTCTGTGACCTTGGAGTAGGTAAGGATTTCTTACCCAAACCACAACCAATAAAAGAAAAAATAGATTAGAGTTCATCAAAATTAAAAACTCACGTGCTTCAAAAGACACTATGAAGAAAACAGCCAACAGAATGAGAGAAAATATTTGCAAATAATATTTCTGACAATGGCTTGTACTCAGAATATATAAATCCCACTCAACAATGGGAAAGGACTCTGGATAGATTTTCTCTGAAGATAGAAAAATGATCTATGAGCACATAAAAAGATGCTTAGCATCATTAGTCAACCGAAAATGTAAATGAAGTCGAGACAAGGATTGCAGAAACTGGAAGTCTCATACAAGACATGAAAAGTAGAATGGTGCATCCTCTTCAGAAAACAGTCTGAGTGTTCCCCAAAAGGCTAGAATAGTACTATGATACAACCCAGCAACGCCTCTCCTGGTTACATACACAAGAGAATTGAAGACATTTTGCATTAAAATCATGCACATAAATATTAATAGCATCATTATTCCTAATAAAAACGTTAAAAGTGATCTAAGTGTCCATCAACTGGAGAATGAACAAAATGTGCAATATCCACACCATGAAATATTATTCATCCATTAAAAGGAATAAAATACGGTTACTGCCATATTCTACAACAGGGACGAACCATGAAAACATAAGTGAAATGATGCAGACACTAAAGATCGTTGTATGAGTCTGTGTTTATACAAAATGTCTATTCTAAATAATTCTGTGGAGTCAGAAAACAGATTAGTGGTTGAGGGGGTGGAGTGGGACATGGGAGAAATGAGGAGTTAGCTTTGGTGATGAGTGTGGATTTCTTTCTGGAGTAATTTTGAAAATGTTTCAAAATTCATTGTGGTTATGTTTACAGAATTCTGTAAATACACTAAAAATGACTGAATTGTATAAATAGGTGAATTGGATAGTATATGATTTAAATCTTTTTTGTTATGATTTTTTTTACAGAGAGTGAGAGAGAGAGGAAGAAACAGAGAGAGAAGTCTTCCACCTGCTAGTTCACTCCCCTAAAGGCCGTAATGGCTATGGCTGGGTCAGGAGCCAGGAGCCAGGAGCCAGGAGCTTTCTCCGGGTCTCCCACGTGGTTGCAGGGCCCCTAGCTACTTTCCCAGGCAAATTAATAAAGAATTGGATTGGAAGTAGAGCAGCCGAGCCTTGAACAGGTACCTATATGGGATGCCAACTTCACAGGCAGTGGCTTTGCCTTCTATGCCACAGTGCAGGCCCCAATTTATATCTTAATAAAACCATTATTTAAAAACGTCTAATGAAGTCATGATAAAATGGTATAATAGGAACCAACTGGAAACTTTTCCCAATGGATGGGACAATTTGAGCATCAAAATGACTGACTGCATTGAACTGAAAAACAGAACAAGCATAAAAAATCAATATTTGTAATGATAGCAAATCAACACAACAAAATATGTCATCATTCACCACTGGAGGTTGCTAGAGTACCAATTATTTCTCTGAAAAATTGAAAAAGTAAAAGAGTCAGTTTCATCCTGTCTTGTATGAATTGCATATTTATAGAATTAAATACTTGATAAGAGAAAATTTTTCTCATAGAAGAACTGTAGCCAACAGATGCAGAAAAATGATAGAATTATAAATTCACTATTTTGGGGCAGGCATTTGACGTCGTGGTAAAGATAGTGCTGAGGATGCTGGTGCTCCATACGATAATGCTTGGATTTGAGTCCCAGCTCCACTACTGATTCCAGATTATTGCTAAAGAACACCCTGTGAGGCTGCAGGTGACGACTCACGTACTTGGGTTGCTGCTTCCCATGTAGGAGAGTGAGTTTGAGTTCCCAGGGCCTGGTTTAGACTGGCTCAGCTTCAGCTGTTGTGGATGTTTGAGGAGTGAACAATTGATAGGTGATCTCTCTTTCTCTCTCTCAATTTCTCTGCCCTTCAAAAACAACATTTAAAAAATACATTTGCTATTTTTCAACTTATGAGGAAATAATACTTCTAGGCATCAGTTATGTTTAAATGTTAAAGGTTTGAGGTAAAAGTTTGGTGGGGAATTTTGTATCAGAAGAACAGGCTGATATAATCTGAATCTTCTGATTTCATCTTTTTAAAAAAAATAATCTCTGGGGCTGGCGCCGTGGCTCACTTGGTTAATCTTCCACCTGTGGTGCCGGCACCCCATATGGGCGCTGGATTCTGTCCCGGTTGCCTCTCTTCCAGTCCAGCTCTCTGCTGTGGCCCAGGAAGGCAGTGGAGGATGGCCCAAGTGCTTGGGCCCTGCACCCGCATGGGAGACCAGGAGAAGCACCTGGCTCCTGGCTTCGGATCAGCGCAGTGCCGGCTGTAGTGGCCATTGCGGGGTGAACCAACTGAAGGAAGACCTTTCTCTCTGTCTTTTTCTCTCTCTCTCACTGTCTAACTCTGTCAAATTAAAAAAAAATCTATTGGGAAAATATTTCACATAATAAAGTTTACCTTTTATTTTTTATTTTCTAAATATTTATTTTGAAAGTAAGAGTTACAGAGAGAAAAAGGGAGAGAGAGAGAGAGAGAAAGAGAGAGAGAGAGAGAGAGAGATCTTCTATCCTTCCATCTACTGGTTTGCTCCCCAGATAGCCACAATGGCCAGTGCTGGGTGGGGCAGGCAGAAGCTAGGAGCTAGGAGCTTCATCCAGGTCTCCTACGTGAGTGGTGGGGACCCAAACACTGGAGCCATGTTCCACTGCTTTCCCCAGGCCATTAGCAGGGAGCTGGATCGGAAGTGGAGCAGCTGGGACACAAATGAGTAACTGCAGCTTTACCGGCTATGCCACAAAGCTGACCCCATAAAGTTCACCCTTTAGAGTGTACAATTCAGTGGTTTTCAGTATAGTCACAGAGTCGGGTAATCAGCATCATTATGGCAAACACAAAATTATCACAAGTTTAAGTGATGGATCTTAATAGACTTTTATTTGCAATTGAGCAACAGCTCATTCTATACAATGAGTGAGTATTTCGGCGAGCTGATTAGAAAAGATCAGCTTCATAGGCAACAAATAACTGAAGTAGAAACAGAGAATAAGAAGCACACTGGGGGCTCCCTTGTGCTGGAGGCAGGGATCAGCTTGCATCATGGAAGGTCTAAAGAAAACTGCATTTCAGGGTCTATGAAGGCTACAGTTCTACGTGGTGATGGCCAAAAACATGTTCCAGTGACTCAGCACTTTTCTTCTCAGAATCTGGTATGTGTGTGTAATGGCCAGGCCGAGCCTGTCTCGTGCCTGCTTGTGGAGAAAGTGACCACTTTGCCCTGACTTGTTCAGCTAAATAGCTGTACAGTAACCTTCCAAGTACCTGGTGTGTAACTTATTCGATGGCCAAACCCAGTCAATCTGTTGGAATGAAAATGTGTTTCTTTAATTTTAAATGTTAAAATAAAAATTTTTGTATAGACTTATGGTTTTTCTCTTGCGGCATCTCCTTAGGAATGCTCTCCATGTCTGTCAGTGCTGTTCAGGCTAACTGGGTTTCTGGTCCTCAATCACTTTTTAAGCTTAGCACACAAGCTCTGCCTCTATCTCAGGACTTGCTTGGGACACAGAAAAGACCAAGTGTTTTGGAACTGTTAAATGTAAGGGCTTACTTTTCTGCATTGGAGTTATGGCTTATGTGCAAAATCTAAATACATGAATAAATATGTCTACTTGGTGGGTGGGGGTCAGGGAAGAAGCACTTTGTGGTGGACCTCTTTATTACGCCTGCTAGCACTGGCTTGTTTGGGAATTTGGCAATTATCTCTCTGCATTAGTTAGATTTTCATAGCTACAACATACCATTCAAGGAGGAAATAGGTCCATTTTGGCTCACAGTTTTGGAGCTTCGCCGTCCAAGATCAAGCAGCTGTATTTGTTTGTCACTCCTGTTGGCAGAGCACCAAGCTGTTGCAGAACGTCACATGGCAAGGAGTTAGGGTGACTCTCTCTCTGCTTTCAAAGTGATTCAGTCATGGGAGCTCCACCTTAACAATCTAATCCAATCTAGTTACTTCCCAAAGGCCCACCTCTAAACACCATAAAAGGATTAACTTTCTTTCCTCTTAGGAATACTACTTTGTGACTTTGGGGATTAAATGCCTACATGAATTTGGCAGTCATATCCTCTTTAAGCCATAGCGTACTCTTTCATTTTCCTGAGTCCTTGGAAGGGCAGATAAACAACGGTAGCTTTTATTTCGTGCTAAAATAGCAGAGGGGAGCAGTAAATAATGTAATAAATGCCATGGCTTTTCTCCAGTAAAACTCTTCTTATGAAGCTGGCAGCAGGTCAGATTTGCACTGTTAGCCAAAGTATGTCAACCCATTAAAAACATTATACAGGAAACCCAGGGGATATAAATGTACCTTAAATCAGCCATGTCCAGAAAGAGAGGCAAATGACTCAGTTTCTTAAAGAAAATGTTAATGATATGAAAAAGACTCACATTCTACTTTCATTAATTTACTCAGTCTCTCTGAGCAGCATAGAGACAGAGAGACACATGCACACACACACACACAGACAATGCCCACAATGGCAAGAATTGGTGGGGCCAAGATCGGGAACCAGCAACTTAATCCAGGTCTCTCACGCGGATGGCAGGAACCCATTACTTGAGCCATCACCACTGTCTCCCAGGGTCTTCCTTAGTAGGAAGCTGGAGTCAAGAAGCGGAGCCAGGGATCCAGCCGTGGCACTCTGTTAAGACAAGGTTAATGCGTGTCTTAACTATTAGCCTAAACATCTGACTCAGTGTTCTCTTTTGATCTTATACTACAAGTTGTTTGCTTGGGAAATCAGAAAAGGAAGCCTGAATGTATTTGAAAGAGCATAGTGGTTTACAGGATACCTTCTAGTGGCTTTACTGTGCTTTATCTTCCACTGATGGAGAAAACCCCTCTATCTGGACAATTATAGTTCTTATACATACACTCTTAGTGATCTCTTAAATGTTTGATCTGTAGCAGACTTTTCAGAATTTTCCACTTAGGTTTATTTTTTTCAAGTGAAGCAAGGTGAGAAAAGTGTCATTTTAATGAAAGGCTCTTTCCAATAGTATCATTAATTTTTTTTTCACTTAGTGGAAGAGATATGGTTAGTCAGTTAAATTCTGAAAAAGGTTTTCTTGGAAGTTCATGGATGAAATGTTATTGCTCATGTAATTTAGGTGACAGATTTTAGCTAATTGCTGGAAGATAATATCACCGTGGTTAAAATAGTTTAAAAGGGAGGAGAACTTGAAATTATGGTGAGCATGTTATTTGGGATAATTGCCATTCTAAACAAAATCCAAAAGAGGTAATTAGAGGTATTCAAAGCAATTAGCTAATGGATCTTAAAAGAATCATATGAGTTGAATTTATTTTATATAAAGATCTTAAATATATAATACTAAAATTACTTTTGTACTTTATTTTTTGATTGTTGTACTTTAAAAAATATTTTTATTTATTTATTTGAGAGACAGAAAGAGGGAGCAGAAGATATGGTATAGATAGATAGAGAGAGAGAGAGAGAGAGAGAAACTCCCAACTACTGTTTCACTCCCCATTTGCCCGCAATGGCTGAGGCTGGGCCAGGGCCAAAGCCAGGAGCCTGGAACTTAATTCAGGTCTCCCATGCGCTGTTCCTGCTGCTGCCTCCTAGGGACACATTAGCAGAAACCAGAGGCTGGAGCTTGAGGCAGGTAATGAACCCATGCAAGACAAACACTCACCTTTGTTCTACATTTTTGACAAAAGAAACTCTTTATTAAAAGTCATGTTGCTTAGAACCCTAGACACACCTATTGTTCTGAATATGTTCCTTAGTTACCAAATTTGATTTTAGACTTACATTTAAATTTTTAAAGAAATATAAATATATTCCAGCTGTAATGTTTAGGTGATGCATATCTTGAAGCTTTTTCCTTATTACTAATTCTAATTTTTAATAATTTTTCATTCTTAGAAAATGTTACAGCTAAATAGAAATTTGTTGCTTCAATAATAGCTATATTTTTGTTTATATTTGCCTCTCTTTCTGGACGTGGCTGATTTAAGGTACATTTATATCCCCTGGGTTTCCTGTATGACATTTATTTTTAAGGAATGCTATCCTAAGGATATACTTTCTTCTTGTGATTCATGTAATTTTTGTGCATAATTTGATTTACATAAGTTGTATGAAGACAAACTGAATTTTCTTTTGTTTAAATCAATATTTAATTTTATGTAAATAAGTATTTTAAAATTGTATTCTTGACTTTCATTTCTGTCCATGATGTATTAACAGGGACCAGATTTATCTTAAACCATTAAATAAGCAGACAAAATATACAAAACAATGATTTTCAGATATTGGACAATAGGTAGTACAGAAGAGTGATTTCTGAGAAAACAGAACAACTAGATGAGCTCTATGGTGGCTCAAGCTTATAGGATAGAGATTTTAGGTTTTAGTGCAGGCCTTCCATCCCCTGGTTCACTCTCTAAATGTTTGTAACAGCCAAGCGTGAGCCAAGCCACAGCTGAGAGCCTGAAATTCCATCTGGGTCTCCCATGTGGGTGACAGGGACACAAGTATTTGAGCCATTACCTGTTGCACCCCAGGGTGTGCAACAGCATGAAGCTGAAATGGTCCTAATGGCCAGGGCTGGGCCAGGGAAAAGCCAGGAATCTGGTTCTCCCACACGTGTAGCAGGGGCCTAAGCTTTTAGGCCATCTTCTGCTGCTTTCCCAGGCACATTTTCAGGGAGTTTGGAAGTAGAGCAGCAGGGACTCAAACTGACACTCAGATGGGATGCTGATGTCCCAGGAGGCAGCTTAACCTACTGTCACAATGCTGGCTGCCAAGCGGCTTCGTAACTGCTGTGCCAAATGCCCACCCCAGGCCAATGCATTTATAGTGTAAGTGGTAGGGTGAGAGGAGAGAGCTGCACAATTAGAGAGTTCAGGAGAGCTGGGTCTCAAATATCTATCCAGAAACAATCAGATGTAACAATACATAGAGCTCACACAGTGCCAGTGATAGGTTGTGTTTCTACAAGTCACAGTGGAAAGGCCCTTTTACTCCCAGGGCATCGAGTAAAGGTAGAGCTCTAAACTGGAATAGACAAACTATGGCTTTTCTTTGTACAACGTATAAGCTAAGAATGATTATTACATTTTTTTTCTTATTTTTGAAAGATTTATTTATTTGAAATGCATAATTAGAGACAGAGCAAGAGAGAGAGAGAGAGAGAGAGATCAGTCCTCAGTGGCCACAGTGGCCAGGGTTAGGTCAGACTGAAACCAAGAGCCTAGAACTCCATCTGGGTCTCCCAGATGAGAGGCAGGGGCCCAAGAACTTGAGCCATTTTTTTGCTGTTTCCCAGGCACATTAACAGGAACTGGATAGGAAGCAGAACATCAAGTATTCCAACAGGTCTAAGCATGATGAAGAGAGAAGCAGAAGATACCGATAGGATGCTAGCTGATCTGGTAGAGTTGAAATAACACAAAGTTTGAGATTAATGAAAAAAAAAAAAAAACAAACAACCACGGAACACTGAATAGAATGGACAGGGGTTTAGGTACTGTAGAAGGAAATGCAGGGGCCGGTGCTGTGGTGCAGTGGGTTAATCCTCCGCCCGTGTTGCTGGCATCATAAAAGGGTGCCGGTTCTAGTCCTGGCTGCTTCTCTTGTGATCCAGCTCTCTGTATGAGTTGGGAAAGCAGTGGAAGATGACCCAAGCTCTTGGGCCCCTGTACCTACATGGGAGACCTGGAGGAAAACTCCTGGCTCCTGGCTTCAGATCAGCCCAGCTCCAGCTGTTGCAGCTATCTGGGGAGTGAACAAGCGAATGGAAGACCTTTCTCTCTGTTTCTCCCTCTCACTGTCTGCAACTCTACCTCTCAAATAAATAAAATCTTAAAAAAAAAAAAACAAGGAAAAAATGTAGTGAACTGGTAGACATATTAATTGAAAGTATCTTAATGAAATACTGCAGAACTGTATTTAAGTACTTGCAAGTACTTTAAGTACTTGCGGTTGTCATAAGAGTCATACATATGTCATAATAATTCTAGGAGAGGAGAGATATGAGAGGAGGGGCATAGAAGTATTTGAAGAAATAATGGCTGACATTTTACCAAATTTGATTAAAAATTATGAGCCCCATAGGTTTAAGAATTTCAGAACTCCAATCAGAGGCCATATGAACACCACACAGGCAGGTAATCAAATTGCTTGAAACCAGAAATACAGAAAAGAAGTATGTCAAAGAAAAAAGACACACAGAGAAACAAACATAAGAATGACAAAGAAAAACAGAAACAAAAATATCAGAACGACACATTTAAAGTACAGGAAAAAAACATACTAGAAATCTACATCTAGCTAAAATATTTTGCATTTTTATAATCACAAAATGGAGATAAAATGAAGAGTTTCTCAGACATACAAATGCTGGTAGCGTTTATCAAGAGCAGAGAAGCACTATAGGAAATGTCATAGAAATTCTTGAAGACAAAGGAAAATGATGGCAGATGAAAATTTATAGCTACTCAAATCAATAAAGAAAACCAGAAATAATAAGTATTTGGGTAAATATAGGAGTTCCCTCCTTACTTTAAAAATCTCTTTAAAGGATAATTGTTTAAGACAAAAGTGGTAAAGAAGTATTGTGTGGTTTACAACATATGTAGACATAAGCTGTATGACAGTAGTGCAAAGTTGGGGATTGGAAGTAATGCAATATTGGTTTAACTTTTTAATATAATCAGTGTAATTCACAACATTAACAAACTCAAAAACATGATAGTCTTAAAAAGATTCAGAATAAGCAACTGACAGAAACCACCATTTCTTAAAAAAAAACTTTATTTTATTTTATTTTTTTGTAACTTTTATTTAGTAAATATAAATTTCCAAAGTACAGCTTATGGATTACAATCGCTTTTCCCCCCATAACTTCCCTCCCACCCGCAACCCTCTCCTCTCCCGCTCTCTCTCCCATTCCAT